AAACCATGTCACCTTCACAAGTGTGGAGTTGTAGAATTGCGGATGCATTTGAGATTCCAATGATGGCAAAGGGAGCCATGACTTTGACCATCACAAAAGGGAAACTAAAAGGCAAAGAGCAAGGTAAGAAAGTGACCTCCTTTCATCATTTGCACTTGCTTGTGCTCCAATTTATTTCCCAACCTTCATAATAGCCTCATGTCTTCTCTTGTCTCTTTTTGAATGTGGTTGTGGCAGTCAAAGGTGCAAAGCCATTTTAACACCCTGAAATAATCATCACTCAGATCCTTTTCTCAACCTCAACTTTGGGTGTGGTGGTGTTTGCCATTATGATGGAGTCTTTTCTTTGATAATGTCATCATTAAGTTTTAGGTCTCTTTAATCTGGTATATTTTTTTTTATCATCACTCTCAAGTTTCATTATTTTTAATTCTTGAGTAAAAATACAGTTATTAAAAAAAACTTAGTGTTAAAAATCAGGAACGATGGTTTATGGTAAGAGCTAGATGTGAGCAGAAGTTTCAAATTCAAATAATTAATTGTATTGAGAAAAGAAGAAAGTTATATAAGGAGCAAACAAGTGCATAATGACTTTTAGGCTTGTTTGTTGGTGAGGACTTCGTAGTGAAAAGGGTTAGCTTTTATTCTTAATTTTTTGTATTGACATGAAAAGGGAAAAGAGAATGTTTCAGTTTGAAGGATCAAAGGGTATGATTTTATTTAGGCCTTTAATTATGATGATCAATATGGTAGAGGTATTTTCTTTTAAATTAAATTTTGGAGGATATGCTCCCTCTCTAATCTCTAAAATGTTTTTGGCAGGCTTTCAAATATATAACTTTCGTTATGTGAGCCCAAACATATATAATTTTCAAGTATATTTTGTTTATTAAATTTAACAATTTTTTAATTGAAGGAGAAAAATGTAGTGGAGAAAATATAAACATAAATTAATAGAGTAGTATTTTAAATATAAAAAAACTAAACCATGGAAAACATTTTTAGTTGAAATTGTCAAAATCACCTTGCTTCCAAATATTGATGGGCATAGTTCTTCTAATTAAGGGGATGAACATACCTATTATAGAAATCATGGCATCTAATTCTAATAAGAGAAACGGGAAAAGGATGCAATCTATAAGGTAGATTTTTCAAAATATTCTGAAGATTTTAAGGCTATAAAATATTTTTTTTTAAAGAAAAAGGTTAAAAAGGTTTCAATGCTTTTTAATCGGACGTGTAAAGCAAATGAAGACAACATCATTCTGTGTAAGAAAAAAGATACACACATTTGTTCATAACCCTTTTGTCAAACTCCCCCACACGTTTGACCAACTTCAATGTTTTCTCAAAATAATTCACTACTGGATTCCACGTAAAAAATAATCATTATTTTGAATAGATTTTAATTCTTTATTTTTTATGGAAAAAAGAAAGTGTTCAATGCCTAAAGTTTTAATCAACTTGGGGTCTAGCACTTTGTGATTTTTATTTCTTGAACTAAGGAATCAGTTCTCAAAATCGTTCACATATAAGAGATATGTTATTGCATGCATATTAATGACACGTAATCTTATTTTATTTTTTTTTTGCTAGTTAGGTATGTATATCTTTTTATTGAAAATAATCATATTCGAAATACTATAAGACGATAAATGTGCCATTTTTCCCACTGGAAATTTAAGCTTTAGATTATCACATTGTGAAAGACTAACTCCTTCCATTAACTTCAATACCTGTTTGTTACATATTATCTTTAAGATCTCAGTCAAAGTTGACTATAATTCTAAGGGTTAATTATTTAATAAAATTTAATTAAAAAGTTTACAAATTCTCCTATTGAATTTTAAAAATAATACGTACTTACATAGTATAAAATTAATTTGAGTTATAATTTTTTCAGACGACATAATAATTTTTTTTGAAAGATCTATTAATAAGTGTGGTTATAGACCTTATAACAAATTAAACCTAAGTTTATAATATGAATCCCTACATCTACTTTTCTCATTCTTTTGTATCTGTTTAACTAAGCTCCTGGAGTCTAACATGCATTAAGAGAAGAGTTCAATACCAACCATATTCAAAGGGAATTCAAAGACGCTAGTTTGAAAGAGAGGGGTAAATAATAATAGTAAATGGCATATTCACTAGAGAGAGACAGAGAGAGAGAGAGAGGGCAGATTACGACATATTTGATCATCTGACGTGAGGCAGATACACACAAATCTCTCTCTCTCTCTCTGTGCAGACAATAAATATGAATCACAGTGGGCTTCAACAGCAGCAAACGAGAACAAAGTAAAACAAAGAAAGGCCTCTTTCATTTCTTTCTCTGGTCCATATGGTTGTTTCCCATGTAAAAAAGGCTCAGAAAATGGCACTCTTACAGACTCTCTCTCTTTCTCTCTCAGTCTGCACCATATTTATTTGCATTCATGGCACCCTCCCCTATGCACTATATTGACCCCTCTCCTCATTTTCAGAGCTCACTCTCCGAAAACCAAAAAGGGCAGAGATTTAAAAAAAAAGGCAGACTCAGATCAGCAGCATCAGGCCATCAGATATTCAGAATTCAGATCCTTTGCATACTGTTGCTTTTATTATCATTTTCTTTTCTCTTCTTTCACCATCTTCCAGGCACCACCTCCTTCTTCTTCTGGGTTTGATTTGCGACACCCTTTTAGATTCAGATCCCAAAAGTTGCTTCCTTTTTTTCATTTCCTTTCCTTATGGGGTTTTGAACCAATTGTAAAAGTTATTGTTTCCCTATGTGCACTATTTTAAGTTTTTAAGTATATATTATGAGGCTTATAGGTGTGGCTTTTTGTCTCTCTCTCTCCTTCTGCTTCTGCTGTTTCTTCTTCTGTCTTCTAACTCAAACCTCTCCTGCTTCTTCTGATGGGTCTGCAAAATTTCAGAGCGTTAAATCTGGGTCTATTCCTCTTCAAGCCAAGCCAGGTTTAGCAAACAAGAAGACTCATAAAAGTGATGATGAAGATCATGGCTCAGAAGCTCCCACTTTTGGTGATGAAAAAAGAAAAATCTACACTGGTCCTAATCCTTTACATAACAGATAAGTAGTGTATGTTTATATGTATAATTCTTCTATTCATAGCTTGATTTTTCTTCTTTACTTCAAGCTCGCTCTATAGATAATAGATTTTTCTTTTTTCTTTTCCCCCCTCTCATTTCTTGTATGTTTCCCCACCCAGAATTTGTGATTATTTTTCTCCCAAAGTATCAGTATGTTTCTGGTGTATTATTATTATTAATATTGTTGTGTATAGGATTATGTTATTTTTCATTCACCACCATATGGCTGATGTCTAGTCCTTTATTTCAATATTATGTATCATTGCATTTTAATTTTTAAAACCTTGAATTCAAAAATCTTATTTAAAAAGATGTCGAATTCCTAATTTCCTTCTACTTTTTTTTTTTAACCAGCAATAATTTCCTTCTACTTGAATAGACCAGATGGTTGGTTGTGTATAGGATTATTTAACGTTGGAGCTTCGTAGTACAATTTTTATTTTAATATCAACTGCTTTTAAAAATAAAATAAAAGCTTGAGAATGAGGTAATGCCATGCAATTAGGATCAGGTTTTGCATATAAATTGTGATGCAATAAATGGAAATGAAATGGTACAAAAGAGCAGAGTGTTAATTATGAGATGGCTCTGCCATTAATGGAGTTTGGTGGAGTAATGACTATGTGACAGTGTTTGTTATGATTAGGTCATTTGTTTCTTCCTACTTTGATTTCCGTAGGAAAAAATTGACTAATCCGCCTCTTCTCGTTGGCTTAATAATTTAATCAAATTAACCTCAATTAAATAATAGTTGGATCGATAAATGTTTTGATCAAGTGATGAAAAAATTAATTAAATCAGTGGAAAGTTTATTTAAATGCTTTTTTTAATTTCTTCACATATTATTATTTCAAGGCTTAAAATATCTATATATAATTACTCATTTATCTTAGGCATATCGTTCCTTTAATTCATCTATCCTTACAAAATTATTCTATTATTTAATCTGCAATCATAGCCTAATAAATCATAAATGGTTATTAATTTGTTTTGGAGTTTCACTTAAATGTGCAAAACCCACTTTAGTCTAACTCAAATATAAGAATTCCCAATTCGGTAATACGTTGATTAAAGATTTAGTTGGCCAAAAAAAAAGAATTAAAGATTAAGAATTAAAATTCTCAATATATATAAATATGGGGTTAAGTGCAAATTTTTTTCCAAAAGTTGCCACTTAAAAGCATTGAGTACCTGAAAGGTTTTTTTAGGTTCAACATTACCTTAAAAGTTTAAAATCATAACAATTTTGTTTTCTATTATTGAAAAACTAATGTTGAAAGTTAAAATAATAATATTGACCGTTAACATTTTTAACGATAAAAGACAAAATTGTCATGATTTTAAATTTTGGGGATAATATTGAACTCAAAATTTTTTTCAGTTTTTGTGCTATTGAGTGAAATTTTCGTAAAAATTTGCAACCTTAACCCTATATATATATATATATATATATATATATAAAAACCGAAAAAAGTCAATAAATCCTTTCTGATTCAAGAGAAGATCCATGGCGTACTGGCTCTCAAGTTTGATCAATTCAGAGAGTTAGCAAAAGGCATTGTAATATGCGTGGTTCAACTTGGAAAAACACTACGTTGAAAGCTCTGCTTATTCGCAAATGGTCTCTTGAATGTTCAAGATAAAAAAAATTCAATTTTTAAACTTGCAAACTCGAATGAATAAAATAAAATTTGTTCATTTGAGGAAGAAGGCATGTGCAATGGTGGGGCCCCTCTGTTAGTACAGTTCTATTCTCTCTCTATAATCACTCAGTAATTTAACAATTGATTGAATCTATACACTAAAATATAACATGAAAAGGCTCAATTCATCACATTAATATGATCGCTTGCAGTTTCAATTCTAACGAGAGGGTCGTAGAATTGAAAACGCATACTGAAATCTGGTTCTATTGTTCCTCATAAGAAACCTATTTCTTTTGCTCATCGTATTAACTTTGTCTTGCACTGCCAATACCATTGACAACAAACATTGAAGCCCCAAACATTCAAAATATATACAATTTCTTAATCATGAGAGAAAATGGCGTAAACCCGTTTTATTATGAGATAAAACTCAAAAATATGATACAAACTACAAAGTTTATTTATAACTTATAAGGCTAATCTTAGAACCAAAAAACAAGAAAAAAAAAGAGAGAGGTAAAATTCAGACAAGGGCCCTCAACAGTTCTTCTCTTTTAGGCCTTATTTCTATAGTGCGTCTAATTCTTCTCATCCTTCTTAGGGATGATGAAGTTATCAAATGCAAACGAAAGTTTTAGTGCCCCAAAAACGCAGCTGATCAGGATCTTACTGTTTTGACTCATCTGCTAGATTCTTCAATGTAAGCTAAATGTTTCCCAGAAAGGAGCTTAATCAGGGGATTCTCTACAACATCACCAGGTTGACTCTTATTCCGCCGAACAGTAGTCTTCTCAAAACTAGTGACGACCACCACTTCCTCCTTGCGAGTGGAGAGTTCGTTTGCAACAACAGCATGCATCTTGTACTTTTCAAGAGCCTTATCAGCTTTCTTCAGAAGAATGTTTGTATCTGTCTCTAACTGTCAGCAATGAAAAACAATAAATCTTAGATAAAAGAATATTAGTATCATGGTATGTCATTTTCTTTTCAATACTTTTTAGGGTTGCCAGAAAACAGGAAATCCTTGGAAAACAAAATAGTTTGAATCTGAAACTGTTCTTTATAAAGAGGATTAAAAAAAGAACGCAAATTTTTATTGAATTCCTTATCGGGCAACATAGGCACAGAATTTTTGGAAAACAATATCATTGACGAGGTCACATGAAAAATAACATAACATCACATGGAAAGGTATACGAAACTGAGCTCAGCTTCAAACTTTTGAGCAAAACTCGAGACATTTTTTTTCATGATAGTGACTGGTAACTACAAGTTAATCATGCATTTAATATAGCAATATAGGCCAATGAAAAAGTTTTTCCCACAACCATATAATGGCCAAACAGGTGGGTGATCAAAACTAACCATGCTATAACGTCAAAGATATCAACATTCAACTGGCTGCTGTGGTGGGGACAGGCTTTTGTACCTTGAAAGATATGCAGAAGGCAGATGGAGCCCAATCTTCCCTTAGCACCGACAACATTTTTGGCACTTGAACGAGTTTCACGTCCAAAATGTGAGATCCTGACTGAATTTTGTGCTCCACCTACAAGATTAACACAAGTTGACATCACCAATAGCTAGTAAATCTAATATATGTATCTTACCAAAAAAAATAGCCTGATATATATATGTCAAAATTGCAAATTTCTAGCTTTATGGTACCCCTTTTAAAGTAATAACCAACCATACTAATCTGATTAGGTTTTTCCCCAGGCATCCTCATCTTGAGGTCTATATTTTATAGAATTTGTCATCTATTATGTTCAAAATCTGTTATCCAAGAGAAAATTTCATCTTTGATTAATATTGCAGTTCCAAAATTTCTTCAACTATAAGAAATTATATCATTTAGAACAATATTAAAGTGTAAAAACTGCATTGGTAACAATCTAGTAATTAACATATATCTACAGTATTGAATAACAGGATCCAGAAATAAAGAACAAGACAACAATATTGAAGAACTAATTTTCAAATTATTACCATGTCCTTCCAAGGAACGTAAAAATCAGATACTGCAGCTGAAAGATAGAACATTGCACGTGGCCCAAGGCACCTCATTGACACTGCAGTCATTTGCAGCATCTGCACTAACAAAAATTACATGGCTATTTTGCACAACAAAACTACTGATTTGGCACTTAAGTTAAAAATCATCACAAGTAAAGAAGTGGCAAAATCTTAAAATATGAGTATATATGACTAAATTATGGAGGTGAAAGACGCATAAGTCAACCTCCAAAGTTGACTGTCAGTTAAGACCCAGGCAGAAAAAGCAGCAGAGGATATACAATAATCTAGATTGATTTGTTTGCAGCATAAAATAAACAGATAAAACATAAACAAGGCTTACCTGAAGATACTCAAATATTGTACTGTATGGAAGTTTTAATAGGAGACCGTCTGCTACTGCCTGCAGAAGAATGGAAAACCTATTTAGCTCTAATCGTACCCAGCTAATCTAAACATGAACTGCTAGTGAAAAGAGGGGGGGGGGGACAACACGTAAAAATAAGAATAGTATGAAAAATCAAAGCTATGGTTCATACAGCATGATGATCAATGATAGCCCTCTTCACTGCTTCAGCATGAGCCTCGCGAACTGAATTATAGAAAAAAATTCAGCCACTTTCACATAAAAGTTAAAAACCAAGATGAGGCAGGCAAAATTTACTTTAGCCGATAGGTTTCCCAATTAGCCTTCTTCATGGGACAAGAATAAGCTAATAATATGACATGACCGAACCTCCTACTGCTGCTAGAACATAAAGAGAGGGACATCAGGGAGTGGTAAAAAGGCAGACATTGAGGATCCATTGGCCCAAAGAAAAACAATAAGGTAGTGAAGTCGGATAAAGCTGAAAAGAGAGGAGCTAAATAAGGAAGTCATGATGAATGGATGGATGTCAGTGGATGTTGAAAACAGGAGAGTAGAGAAGAACTGGTTAGTGTGGCTTTAGCCCTGGGTGGAGAGTGCCAACCTCTTGAAAGTTTGGCAAATCTATTGTGTTTTGTGATTCTGTGTTTTCTGTTGAGTTTGTGGCAGCTGGTGTGTGCTTTGCATCTTTTACTCCTTGTCATCTTGTGTTAGTTTGTCTGTATTTTTTTATCCGGGTGTAAAGGCTCATGTGTTTGGCTTGAGTTCACCTTTAATCTGTTTTAGTTCTTCAGGAAAAAGAATAATTCATTCCAAGTTATTTAAATTTGTTCTTGTCTATTTTGCGCTTTTGTCTGTCATTAACTTAATTCAAGTTGAGGGTTCTATCATAACATAACATTTTTTATATTATATAGATATAATGCTGTAAAGTGAGAATTATTTAATAAAGTCGGGTCATTAGATATCTGGCATCATTGTTTTTCAAACAATGAAATCGTGCATATTCAAATACTTCAACAAAATCATGTCATAATGATAAATATAGATTGTTGGGTTATTGATCCTGCTTTGGGTAAGGAAATAAACTGATTACTTTCCGTGTCACACGCACAGTCTCACGAAGTATTCAGCAGAAACTATAAACCGAATATTGGAATCACTGGTAGCCTCAAAGCATTCAAGTAAAGGATCATCAGGCAGGGATCTGCAAAACGGCTGGAAACTTCCCCTGCAAATATATACATGCGCAATGAACTAATCAAAAGAAACCAAACCAGAGATAGAATACTCTACAACTCATCATAAAAGAAAGCACCATAACTGGAAAAGAAAAATAGAAATTCACCTTCGATAAAGAAAGATGACAGCATATCCAGCCTGCAGAAAATACCTAAAACAAGACCAGCGAGATCATTATTTTCAGAAAATTCTGATAAGAAGTTGACATCAATTCTTTAATAACTCAAAGGAGATTCAACATACTCTGTAGATGTGGCTCCTCTATGACCTGAACTGAAATTGTCAACATATCGAACACACCGTTGCTCTAATGGAGCAGTGGTACCGCCAGATGTCACGCAAACGACTCTTCTGGCATTCCCATCTGAACCAGACTCTTCACTTAGAAGTAATTGAGTGATTGCAAAATGCATAGTTAATTGTTGTGAGAATGTACGTACCAGCAGGCAAAGAATTGCGTGTTATAAATTCCTTCAATTTTTCACTTATTTCATTACTTTTCTGCAAAGGAGGAGCTGAATCAAAAAATGCTTTCACTTCCTGTTCAAAAGTTAGCTGCGGAGTTTGCAATCCCTCAACTGAATCCATGAATTGCCTGCAGCCATCCTGTGTCAGACATTCATAACTTGATTGCAAGCTCATGAACCAAAATAAGACTTGAAAATTAATGTAAATAATTAGGGAGAAAAAAGAAATCAGCATCCTCTACAAAAGGCCTTCACAACTACCACCTCATAATTCCACCGCAATATCCCAATGAAGAAAACCAATATTCAAAATCAGTAAGGCAATAGCAAGATAACCCAATTTGAACCCAAAATTCAGATGACAATAGATTGCGAGGTGAAGCATCTAAAAGGGGGCGAATGCATCCAATCATAATTGATCAAATGCACAGCAAATTCAAACATACGAATTCAAAGCAAGATTCGTTTTTCTTTCTTAACTTTGTTTAGAGGAAACTGAAGACATAAACAGAAGAAAAAGGCATATTCGGAGAGCTCACCACCAAAGAAGCGCAGTATTCTGGCGTGATGCGACGGGAGAGGAGATGGGGAAGAAATGAGGATACTGATGATTTATGCGTTACATGTTTTTTGGTGGGAGGTAGGAAACGGTAGTTGGAAATTGGAATCCAGATTTTTCCTTTTCTTTTCTTTTTTTTTGGAAATGGGAAACGGGAGTTGGAATTTGAAAACTTTTTCCTATACTTTTAATTTAGTTTTAAATATAATATTTTAATCTATTTTATTTTTTTATATTTATTTATTTATTCTGAAGTAGTCCTTTCAGTAGTTGTATATGTTTAAAGATTCCATCAAATGGTAATTCTAACTAATATACATAATTAACAAAGGTATTCTATGAAAGACAACACATATTTACAACAAAATAACTAATTTAAACTAATTTCTTTAATCTCTTTAAATTAGTCAATTAGGCCTTATATTAAGGATTGAAGGTAATTATATATTTTTTTGGCCAGACCCAAGGGGACCTGAATTAATTACCAACCAGATTATTTCGAGGGAAAAAATTCTAACGAATTTATGAGTATTTAACATTTATGATTGTAATATCCTTATTTTTTGTTTACAGTTTTTAAGATTAAAATACCAAAAAATATATTTTTTAAAGTTAAGTAATCAAACTGAAATTTTGTTAAAATTAAAGAGTTAAAAGTATATTTTATTACATTAACAAAGTTGGTATTATGATTATAAGCACATCATCAACATTATTTAAGAATAAAATATTTTTTTACTCTTCTCGTTTGCATCAATTATACAGACCTCCTTTTTATTTTAAAAATATATAGTTTAATCTAATTAGTTAACATCGTTAGAAATATTCTTAAAATATTATTTTTAACTGAAATTTATATTAAAATAATTTCATTTCTATTTTAACCTATTCTAATAAATTCCTAAATTCTATTTTTGCAGTTACTTGAATTTATTTAGTCAAGCATACATAAAATACTTAATTAAAAATTTTACTAATTTTTTCAATAAATATATATATACTTAACTAAATATATTTATAAAATTTTGCAATAAAGATGTGTTTGAAAATTTTGAATTATAATTTAAATAATTTATAAAATCTTTTAAACTTATATCATTTAACTTTATGATAAACAAAACTAGGTATTTGAACTATGTTTTTAATATTAAAAACAAATCAAAGAAATAATTTCCAATGAATCGATAAAATATGAAAATTATAAATTTTATAATTTGGATCGAAATTAATAAATTTTATAACATATTAAAATTTTAAAAATATATGTATTAGAATTATTTTTTTTGATTTTGTAAATATTTTTTTTGGAAAATATGAATGTCTAAATAATTATTAAGTTAAAAAGGAGCATTTTTGATAAAATAATTTTAAAATCAAATTAGTAGTCGGTTAATGATTTGGGTGGATGACCATAGAATCTTAAAAATAAGAAGATGTGTGTAATATATATTTTAATTTTAAAGGAAATTTATATACATTTTCAAAATAGATGAGAGATTTTTGTAATTAAGATAAAACAGAAAGTGATCAGTGTATTTTACTCTTATTTTAATATTACTATATATAAAAAAAGTCCAAGAATATGGGCATGTTTTTGTTTGACTATTAACTTGGTTATAATATTTTAATTAAACGCGGGTTAATGATGTCGTTCCGCACGTTACTAAAAAGAAAATATTATGCTTTCTAATTTTGAAACAACATTAACGTATTCGCTCACGAAATCATTTCAAAATTACAGCATTATGAAGTAAATTTTGTTTAAAACTTGAGAAACTTAAAATTAAAATACTCTTAAAATCAGAACTATTTCAATACTTAAAGAAGAATTATTGTCATGTTTCCTCATTAGGTCAATTGTGGAACTATGGCAAAGCCTCCTCCCCATTTGCGAGCCGAGAACAAATACAAAGACCGTCAAGAATATCAGAGGCCATGTGTTCTGCTACTTCAGTTGTAACTACGCCTACGTAAATATATTATACAAACTCACTTGAGGGATATAATTCATTCTTTCTCATAACCAAGAGGGATACATCTAATAAAAAAGACCAGTCTCTCAAAATGTGTTGAAGTAATATTCCAATCCCATTGAGAGATATTCACATTTAATACTTGATAATATCTCGAATAAAATTACCTCTAATAAAATAATAAATATGCCTAGCAAAAAAATAAGGGAAAATGACAATAAAATACCACTTGAATTCCAAAAAGACAGATAAGGGACCGGAATAAGCAAAATGACAAATAGGGCACTGGGTACCAATCTGGAATTCATATTTTCGGCCAAAAGACCCAAATCCCCTGATGAAATGCGAGAAGACCGAAAGCTGAAAGTGAGAGGAAGGAGAGAGGAAGACCGACGCAGTGAGAGAAAGGAGAGAGGAAGACCGACGCTGATGAAATGCGAGAAGAAGGAAAGAAGAATGTTGGAAATGCTATTATCTTACTCATTCGCATCACCATTCTGTAGAGATTGTTGATTTTGGTTGTGGGAAAGAAGATTTGTAGTGAGAGAGGGAGTGAACCGAAGCGGAAAGATGAAGCGGAAATCAGAAAACTGGCAAGCAATTACGTAACGTAACTGTTGTCATATGCCTGCTGGTTTTTGGTAAATCCCATTACGTGAATGGTAAATTTCACTATACATGTAGTTAATTATGAATTTTACAAAATACATATTGTGATTTACAACTTTTGTAGTGAAAGTGACTACTTTGTTAATGGGTTTTACAACCTGTTTTCAGGAGATAAACAACTTGTTTGTAAAAACTAATAAAAGTGACAACTTTTGTAGTCACGTTGAATTAACTGGTTGCAAAAGCCATTTAAGAAGTGATCATTTTCACTATAAAAGTTGTAAATATCACTGTGTGTTTTGTAAAATTCAGCGTCAATTTTTATTAGTTTTTACAAACAAGTTGTTTATCTCCTGAAAACAGGTTGCAAAACCCATTAACAAAATAGTCACTTTCACTACAAAAGTTGTAAATCACAATATATATTTTGTAAAATTCATAATTAACTACATGTATAGTGAAATTTACCATTCACGTAATGGGATTTACCAAAAACCAGCAGGCATATGACAGCAGTTACGTTACGTAATTGCTTGCCATTGTTTTCTGATTTCCGCTTCGGTTCACTCCCTCTTTCACTACAAATCCTCTTTCCCACAACCAAAACCCACCAAATCAAGAAGGATTTAGTTTCGTCAACTGGAGGGGATTTGGTTTCGTGGAGTGGAGGGATTGGTTTCATCGAGTAGAGGGATTCGGTTTCACTGAGGGGAGGGATTAGTTTCACCGAGTATATGGATTGGTTTTGCCAAGTGGGGGCAGTTCTCTTCGCCGAGTGGGGGGAATTGCTTTCGCTGGAAGGAGACGAACACAATAAGAGCAATTCAGTCTTTAGGCCAAAAATCAAAATTCCAGATTGGTACCTGATGCCTTCTTTGTCATTTTGCTTATTCAGGTCCCTTATCTGTCTTTTTAGAATTCAAGTGGTATTTTAATGTCATTTTCCCAAAAAATAATTCACTCTCTTTTTTCATGTTTACTCTCTTTATCTGCTTCTTTCAATGTAACTAAAAACTTGGGAGAACCATTTTATAAGTGCATATACTTTTCCTCAATTTTTAATTTGATACTTTTTTTCACTTTATTAAATCTTTTAATTTTCCTCCATCAGTATTGTTAGCCTTAGCCTTGTAACTTTGCTCTGCTAGGCTCACAATGCCAATAGAGCAAAGTTAAAAAAATTTAGGTATTAAATTGAAAACTTTATACACTTCCATTTGAACAGGGGCTTTTATTAGATTTAGATGGGAATCCATGGCATTAGGTTTTTGGAATACATGACAGGATCATTGAAACTAAATGACTTGCAATACAAAAAGTAAAATTGAACATCTTTGCGAGCAATTCAATTATTAGTGCATCATAAAATGTTGCAAACTCAGGAACTTCTATGTAGAGGAAACAAGGCTCCAAAAAAACCACTTACCTGGATCTAAAACGTGAAATTTGTGTCAGGGGAGTGTGCTTAAAAAGCAACATATGATCACAGGCAAAACATCTCAGTTAACTATAGCTCACTCCATTGCCCCTTACAACCTCACCAATTTTGTAGACTTTGTCCAGTTCGTCCCTATTCTCAAGTATTTTAATTGATGCTTCAGGGCTCACTACAAGTACCATCCCTATGCCCATATTGAATGTTCGCCTCATCTCGCTGTCTTCTATATTTCCAGCCTAATAACGTAAGAAATCATCAATATATAAATATATATAAATTATCTCCAAATCATTTTCAATGGAAATAAAATGGCAGCAGTTTTACCTCCTGAAGCCATTTGAACACAGGAGGAACTTTCCATGAGTCCTTGTATATATTGGCGCCAAGGCCTTCAGGAAACACTCTGGGTATGTTATCTGTAAAACCACCACCAGTGATGTGAGCAATTCCCTTAACCCCTCCCTTGCTAATTAAGTCAAGAACCTGAAATTAAGAAAGAACACTCGTCTTGTCAGTAAAAATATCTTCAGGAACTTGAAAAATAAATCAAGCATAACCACAGGTCACAAAGACAAATGACCTTTCTAACATAAATAACAGTTGGGGCCATTAGAGCTTCTGCTATTGAAACATCCCCACCAGGAAGTTGATCTTGCAATGAAAGACCGCTTTGAGCAAGCACTCTGTAAAGATATGTATTATTAA